AAGTTTCATCAATCAGAAGAAAAAGAGCATTTTTGGGGGCACAGGAATTTATATTTGGATGGTGCTTGGAAACTATTTTGATTTCCTTTATTATCTCGGGGGATTTCTTGTCTCTTTGTAGGCAGCGGACAGCAGAGAGATTAGAGGAAATGTGAGGAGGAGGAGGAGAGATGGTTTCCAGGGACACACAAATACACGGTCAGCATCTTAGCCCAGTGATCCACAACCAGGGGTATTTGTTCTGTAACTGCCAACGGCTTCTAGGAAAGAGTGAAGCAGCAGTACTAATTGGATAAATGTGATATTTCTGCATTTTATAAATAAGTAAACACAGTTCAGGCTTGAATGCTCGTGCCCACAAATGACAGGTGAAGTGCAGAAAGATGTGCACCTGAAGCAAAGTCTGACATCTGATTTTCTTACATTTAGTCGATGACCCGAATGTCTTCATTTGCATTCGGAGCCGAGGACACGGACATGATTTTTCCCTGAACCGGAGCTGCGGTTTGTGGTTTTATTTAACATGAATATTTGATTGGCCCGATTGGCCCGAGCAGCAGAAAGAAACCGCTGCCGGTTTCCTCCCGAAACGCTCTTCCGTCTTGGGGGATTGAGGGGGTGGCGGTCGACTTAGATTTGCCACATTTCATTAACACTGAACCCTGTTAGGTCTAATCCAGCGTCCAGACCGGCCGAGAGAGGACAAAGAAACCAAAAACAGCCGTAAACACCGAACACCACCTGGCAGGTTAGTACCGCGGCGCTGCACATTCCTTTTAATCTCGTTTGGCTGCCTGACAGCACAGAGAGCTGGCAGCAGTGAAATCATTTTGTGTAAGTTAAACGCTTTCTAATGAAAAGACTCCCCGAAAAGGCACACAGGGAACGACTCCGAGGAGTCCCATTTCTTTTTCCTACAAAGCTGTGCAGGTTTTCTTTGGCACCTTGCTCTCCATGTGGCCCTGATACTCCAGGTCACGTTTCTTTAATCCTGCTCGCTGGCTGGCTCAGACTTGTTTTAGTTGGGTGTTTGCCCGGGTGAGTGCAGGTGTAACAGACTGGTTTTAGTGTCTAGGCGTACAACCATGTGTGGTTTTCTAATATGCGGTTTAAAGGGTGAAGCTGGGGAAGGTGGAGGTTTTAGTTCCACGCAGGGTGAATCTTCAGTTGATATTTCAAAAATGTTTTTCCTCAGTAATGTGTTTTTATCTGCTGCAAACTCGCACTGGGTGACTTTACCTACCAACCTGGCACAAATAAATGCTAATGTAGTGTTTTAAAGCAGATATTGTGAAGTTATTTGAATTGCACAGTTTAAAAAAGAGTGACTTTGGAGCACTAAAAATAAGACAGTTTGTGTTGCAGAGCATCAGCCTGTGTGTAATTTCTGTAGTTAAAATGGATAATTGTGCACAGAGGCCCAAACCGTTTTTTTGTAGCAGGCTCTAAATGCATTTATTTCTGCTCTAACGTGAAACATTTTAACATCAAAGTCTATGGGGACCGACTCCTATCTGGAGCGAGCCTTAAATGGACATTAGAGGAAGTAATGGAGCAGATCTCACTTTAAATCCTGCCTTTCTTTGTGGTTCCTGCGTTGGTGGGTTCTCTACAGAAGACCAGCTGAGTTGATGAAGGGCTTATGAAAACAGATCCTAATACTGGTTCATGCATTAAAAAAAATAGGTTTTTGCTAAATAAAAAGGTTATTGATTGATTTGTCTCTCCAGCTTAGCTTTGAGATTTGCGGCTAATAGACTTAAATTAGTTTATGTTAGCTAACTAGTGACAGAACCGATAACTCAGAGGAAAATGAGGGACTAAACTCAGTCCAAGGGGATCACCTTTGTGTTGCTCCTGGCTGTAACAATGAGTTTTATGTTAACAAACCAAAGATATTCTTTACACTTTCACTCTCTGTCTTTAGCAGTAAAGGAGTCATCATTGTTTGGACTGGTTCTTATATAGCGCTTTTCTACTCTGTCCGAGCACTCAAAGCGCTTTATACAGCTAATTCATTCACCCAATCACAGCCATTCACACAAGCACTTCTAAGCTTAAGTGCTAAGTATCTCACATTCATACATGAACATTCACACTCCGATGGATGCATCGGAGAGCAACATGGGGTTAGTATCTTGCCCAAGGATATTTGGCATGCAGACTGGAGCAGCCTGGGATCGAACCACAGACCTTCTGGTTAGTGGCTGATCCGCTGTGCGACCTGAGCTACAGCCAGCTGCACTAAAAATCCACCTGTTAGCTGTAATGTTCAGGTTTGTAAAGCATTTTATAGATGAGAACAATGTTGAAGTTCATGAAAATTACACATTCAGAGCCTTTGAGTCTTATTCAGTTATCGGTCCATTAAATGGCTCTGAGCGGAACCTACCAACAAACCAACCCGGTGACATTCTGTACTTAAAAATCAAAAACTATAACTTTAAAAAAGGGTGGAGTGCCCACTCTGGGTCAGGGACAAGACCCTGCCCCAAGTGGAGGAGTTTAAGTATCTCGGGGTCTTGTTCACAATTGATGGGAGAAGGGAGCCGGAGATCGACAGACGGATTGGTGCAGCGGCTGCAGCGATGCGGATGCTGTACCGGTCTGTTGTGGTGAAGAGAGAGCTGAGCGTAAAAGTGAAGCTCTCGATTTACTGATCGATCTACGCCCCTACCCTCACCTATGGCCACGAGCTGTGGGTAGTGACTGAAATAACAAGATCGCGAATACAAGCGGCAGAAATGAGCTTCCTCCGAAGGGTGGCTGGCCTCTCCCTTAGACATAGGGTGAGAAGTTTGGTCATTCAGGAGGGGCTCAGAGTAGAGCAGCTGCTCCTCTACATCGAAAAGAGCCAGTTGAGGTGGTTTTCCGGGCATGTCCCACCGGGAGGAGGCCCCGGGGCAGACCCAGGACACGCTGGAGAGATTATATCTCTCGGCTGGCCTGTGTTTGGCAATTATGTGCAATCTGTTTGCAACAATAGGGTAAATCAGTAAAAACTGCTAATCTGATGCTGCTTAAATGCAGAGAAATTCACATTAACGGTTTACCTTCAGAGTCCTGCCAGAACCAGATTTGAAATAGAAATCCAGAAATAGTGACGTTGTTGCTGCCAAACTGCAATTTAACAGCAACATGAGACAAGTGCTCTTTGATATTGGAACCAGAACAGAATGAAGAAAGATCATAAAGAAACTCAGTGTAATTAGCTCTTTAGTTTAAGATGAGAGTACCTCTGTGCAACCTCAGAAACAGCTCGCACGTACACACTGTGTACAAACCATTATCCTGTAATATGATGCTACTGTGCAACTGCAAGACCAGTGTATATTCAGGTTTTGCTGTCCACTAACTAGACCACTATTCACGTGACTTTAACAAAGGTCCAGTCACACAGGCCTAGAGACCAGTGAACCCTGGTCACTGCTGGTCGCTAATGTATTATTCCCTGACTGGTTGGCAAATAGTTGCTGGCAGTTGCTAGGTGAAATTGGTTGCTAAGATACGGTGCTGAATCAGAAACTACCTTGTGATTGGTTTGGTCACTCGCAGATTACCACAGTTGTCCACAGTTTCCATGAAATACGCTGACTTCTGCAAACACTCACCAAGTTGCAAAGACAGAAATATTTCCTGTCTTTTAGACCAAATGCACATAAGATAGTAAAGCTGTGCAAGACATTATTATGCCACCCTGGTTTATTGATGGATTGTATTTATTTATGTATTTTATATATTCTCTCTTTTACTGCAAGAGGGCTCTAATGCAAACGAATAATGTTAAGTAGTAAACTGTGAAAACTGGAAATGGGGAACATTGGCCTTCAAAATAAAAGTTGTGCCTCACCACTACAGCCAAAGTATTCCAAAGTTTTACTTTGAAGGAGAACATTTTCTGCTTTGTCTTTGTGTCTTAATTTTCCAAGTGTTACTTACACTCTGAGAGCAGTGAGCCAGTGTTTGCAGACTAGTCTGCGTTTTCCATGCAAACTACGAGTGACCACAGCCATCTACTGCCCACCCAAGCAGTCACAGAGAGGTTTTTGGTGCAGCGCAATATGTCTCTTTGCAACCAGCCTCCTACAACGACTGGGCCAGTCCCTAGGACTTTGTGCCTGAGGCGTCATTAACCATTTCCGGGTCCAAACCGGAATACACAGTGTTCTGACTGAGGGATTAAAACGTGTTCAGATTAAATATAATAAAATATTAAGCATTAAAATGCGTTATAAAGACAACAGCCTTAATGAACGGAGTAGGAGTTTGGACTGGAAGCAGGATTTATATGTCATCCGTTAACAACAAGATTCAATGGACTCCACAGCATCAACTTAGTATTTCAGATGGAAATGTTTAATTTGCATAGCATAGTAATAAAAACTTAGAAATCCTAACAAATTCATTAGATTATGACTTAAATGTGTTTCAAATGTCTGTATGCTGCCCTTGGATGATGCTGCCTAAATAGAGTAAAAGAGAAGTGAGAGTTTTTACTTCAAATCAAGCTTCATGTTTGATCTGAGTAGCAATGAAACCAAATCACACTGCAGAGAGAGACACGCTCAGTTTGATTAACAGCTGAGCTGGTCATTAAATAAAATGCATGTTCTGCGGTTGAAAATAAAAGCATTGCATGTCTGAAGCTTTGTACTCGCAGGAGCTGAGCGTCTGCTCATTTGTGCCTCGGCTGTGAAGGAGGGACCGTTTGATTACATGCAGATAAACCGCAGTGGAAAGTTGTAAATCAGTCAGGTTCAGGCTCGAGGTGCTTCTCACAGGAGTTAAATAAATAGTCTGTTTGGTGTAATCTGCTGACAGTCTAGGTAATTTTTTTCTCTTTCCTCTGCAGGTCTTTTGAACATTTGCAGTATTTGCAGATCTTCTCTGATATCTGTGGCTTCAGGACAGAGGCTGATTTTGGTGCATGTGCAGAGTTGCTGTAGCTGCAGTTTCATACCTGCCCACCTCATTTTCTCCGCCTTTTCTTTTCTCTGCAGACACAAAGACGGCTATTCCCTCCCAGCCCTTTCCAGTTAAGAGAATATAAAGGATCGGACGGCACATGAGAACACCACCACAGGTGAGAGGGGACTGGTTTGTGTCCTTCATGTAGACTCGTGTGCTGCAGCCAGGAGAGAACATGATGCACACTCAGCAGGACTTCATTGTGTAAAGTGGAGCTGATTAAGAAGTGGTAGTGTTATCAGATGATGCAGAGACCTTCCTCCTCCTTCTCCCAGTGTGAGATTAGCTCTAAACCCAAACACGAACACCTGTGTACGCCTTATAGCACGATAAAATAATCACAGTAAGATAATCTGTCCTGCTAGTCTAAACCCCCGATTGGTTTAAAGCTGCTGTGTGTTTAGGCAGATGACCAGTGAGTAATTAAACCTCCCAAAGGAGGACGACTAAACCCTGACCTGACGCTGCTGTTTAGTACAAACTGTCCTGAGCCCACCTTTTACCTCCTCTCTGATCCTCTTTCGGGGTCTGAGTCACCACAAAGCTGCGAGGTAATTTCAGAGTATCTCCCCCCAACAAGAAAAACCCTGGAAACCACATCTCTGAAAGGCTTTCAGAGGAAGATAAACCACGACAGCGGCTTGCAGCCTCCACCAGGGTCACACGCCTTAAAGTCTTTGTTCTGCTGTGCCGGCTCCTACATCACTCCGTGTACGTTTAGAAAGAGATTCTGAACCCTTGAAAAGGCTGAAGAGTTTACTGCTGAGATTAACTGCAACACCAGAGAAGTTTGAGGGCAGAAAGCAGCATTTTGGATCCACAGTTACTGGAAAAATATTTATTTTACAGGGCTCTGGAAGTGGATGTACTTAACTGCTTAATTAACTTAATTAAATTCTATTCTTAAATACTTTTGTAATCTGTTGATTTCAGTTTTATTTATATGAAATCTCAAAATAAAAAATAAAAAAGCCTGGTAGTGTAATGTAGCTCCAGTTTTTCTCCCCTGAAACTTAAACTTACCACTGCTGTTTGTTTCATATAAATAATGAAAGTACCAATTTTCTGTAATATTAATGGAGGAGAAACCACAACTGAATGACAAGAAAACTCAACGCTGAGACTTGGCTTTGAGTTCCATGAATATTGAAAACAAAACCTGCACTGAATACATCTTGGTGTCTGGAGCTCTCCCAAACCCACATGAATAATTATAGGGGACATTAAGCTACAGCGATGATAGGGACAGCTAATAAATCTCCCTTCTTTGACTGTGTAAGCTTGTGGATTTTGTAAACGATGGACCACAAATCGAGAGAGTTTATTGATATGTCACATCGACCAAAGTGCTGCAAAAATATTAAAACAAATGAAGCCATTAAGAAGCAATTAAAAACATCGGGTAAACAAATCAAGCCATTAAAGGCAATTAAGAAAGCCCATCGTGTGGTAATCTACAGGGCTCGTTAACAGTGTAGGGTAAAACTGGTCCTAATCCGGGAAAGTTTGAGGGTAGATGTCCTGATATGGAAAGAAAAACTGTTTCAAGATTTACAGCAGAAAAAAGTAATCACTAATTTGTTATGTAAAGCATAAATTTACCTATTTATTGTTATACATTTTTTCTGGCTGTGGTGCCAAAGTTTTAATTCCCCAAAGGCTGCTCAACGACTGACATGTAAAACACCGATCTTGTTTCTTGTCTCTTTGAAACAGGAACTCGGACTCATCGCGGCCTCATTCAGTCACTCGGTTTAAATTCAAGTTGATGCAGAGCTGAGGAGGTTTCGGGACAAACCGCTGGCTTCTACACTCCCCAGCGCTCTGAGCTTCATACCAGAGGACAATCAGCCATCGGGGAAAACAAACGTTTAGGCCATTTTAAAAATGTCAGAAAGCTGTCGTCTGCAGCTGACGATGAAGAGGAGCTCAGGGGACGACCACAGCATCGATCGGGTTGATATCGATTGACCCTGGACTGCTTTTATATATGTCTGCTGACTCTATATGTCTGTAGGCTGTGTGTCACATGATTAGGAAGTAATCTGATGGTTCCCCCAGATGTTAATGCAATTTACAAAAAAAAAAAAAAGGTCTCCAGTGGTGGGTAGCAATTTGTTTCATACCAGCATAATTTTATGATGTTCAGATAATATTTTCTAGATAAATAATAGAGATGTTCTTTAACTTCCTATTGTACACCTGAACCTTATACGTATATCGAGTGAAGATGCAGTAGTGATAAAAAAAAGTTATTACTTTTCTATCAAGTTTGATTCAAAGGACATTTGGATGCTTAATGAGGTTAAAATATCCAGTATTTATTCTTTCTCTCATCCCTTATTAGATTTATTATGCCCCATATTTAATTTTTGTAATGTTTTATGGTCTCGTCTTAATCCCAAGGTTGGGAATCTAGAGCTTTAAACTATGGCTAGCTGTGGTGCAGTGCTGAGCTAATGCTGATTGCTCAAGACTCCGCGTTAGTAAAACGTGTATGCATTGGCCAACCTTGATGTTAACACCTGGATCCTTTAAGATGTAGCCACAGGGTTTTTCTTGGATGTTACTGCAGAAATTAAGCTGTGGGAATACTTCCATGTTTTTTTGCAAGATGATTTACACTTTAATGAAACACTAACAAGCTGTTGACAAACTGTTGTAGAATTACGGAGTTCCTGTATTTGCTGTGAAAATGTTGAGGATTACCATCACACCTTCTCTGGCACATGTAGTGGCTTCAAAATCCAGGAGTTTGGGTGATTACAGAATAGTTGTATCTATTTTATGATGTAGAACAAAACATGAAATCAGGTGACCCATCAATGGTTAAGGTTTGATTTTGCTTCAGCCCTGTTAAATAAGCAGATCGTTTAGAAATGAAAAGCTATTATCTTTTAAATGTGTTGTCACAAACTGAACATTACACTCACTGTGTGCTAGCTGCTAGTATTAAACATTAAATCTACAGTTACAACAAAACCTAAATAAAAATCCACCCACTTCCTTGACCTAACCCCGAACCCTTCTATAACAAAACCACAGTTAACCAAAGACATTTTTTCAGGCGTCAAAAAATAAACCTTTAACAAGACCCAAAGAGTTTTTCATGTAACACTATGTATGTGATTGTGTTTTCGGCATGGTAGTCATAAATCAAACACAGTACTTAGTGTTTGTTTCTTGTTTGCAGTTTTTGGTTGTGACTGTAATGCTAACTGCTAAAATTTAAAACTTTTTAGTCTTCTAACAATACATTTAACAGTGACAGAAACAATTCAACACAGCTAAACATAAAACAATACCACAAGCCATTTAGCATAAAGGCCCAATAAAAATACAGTGGGGCAAAAAAGTATTTAGTCAGCCACCGATTGTGCAAGTTCCCCCACTTAAAATGATGACAGAGGTCAGTAATTTGCACCAGAGGTACACTTCAACTGTGAGAGACAGAATGTGAAAAAAAAATCCATGAATCCACATGGTAGGATTTGTAAAGAATTTATTCGTAAATCAGGGTGGAAAATAAGTATTTGGTCACCTCAAACAAGGAAAATCTCTGGCTCTCAGACCTGTAACGTCTTCTGTAAGAAGCTTTTCTGTCCCCCACTCGTTACCTGTATGAATGGCACCTGTTTGAACTCATCATCTGTATAAAAGACACCTGTCCACAGCCTCAAACAGTCAGACTCCAAACGCCGCCATGGCCAAGACCAAAGAGCTTTCGAAGGACACCAGGAAAAGTATTGTAGACCTGCACCAGACTGGGAAGAGTGAATCTACAATAGGCAAGCAGCTTGGTGTGAAAAAATCAACTGTGGGAGCAATCATCAGAAAATGGAAGACATACAAGACCACTGATAATCTCCCACGATCTGGGGCTCCACGCAAGATCTCATCCCGTGGGGTCACAATGATCATGAGAACGGTGAGCAAAGATCCCAGAACCACACGGGGGGACCTGGTGAATGACCTGCAGAGAGCTGGGACCAAAGTAACAAAGGTCACCATCAGTAACACACTACAACGGCAGGGAATCAAATCCCGCAGTGCCAGACGTGTTCCGCTGCTGAAGCCAGTGCATGTCCAGGCCCGTCTGAAGTTTGCCAGAGAGCACATGGATGATACAGCAGAGGATTGGGAGAATGTCATGTGGTCAGATGAAACCAAAGTAGAACTTTTTGGTATAAACTCAACTCGTCGTGTTTGGAGGAAGAAGAATACTGAGTTGCATCCCAAGAACACCATACCTACTGTGAAGCATGGGGGTGGAAACATCATGCTATGGGGCTGTTTTTCTGCCAAGGGGACAGGACGACTGATCCGTGTTAAGGACAGAATGAATGGGGCCATGTATCGTGAGATTCTGAGCCAAAACCTCCTTCCATCAATGAGAACTTTGAAGATGAAACGAGGCTGGGTCTTCCAACATGACAATGATCCAAAACACACCGCCCGGGCAACAAAGGAGTGGCTCCGTAAGAAGCATTTGAAAGTCCTGGAGTGGCCTAGCCAGTCTCCAGACCTCAACCCCATAGAAAATCTGTGGCGGGAGTTGAAAGTCCGTGTTGCTCGGCGACAGCCCCAAAACATCACTGCTCTCGAGAAGATCTGCATGGAGGAATGGGCCAAAATACCAGCTACTGTGTGTGCAAACCTGGTAAAGACCTATAGTAAACGTTTGACCTCTGTTATTGCCAACAAAGGTTATGTTACAAAGTATTGAGTTGTATTTTTGTTATTGACCAAATACTTATTTTCCACCCTGATTTACGAATAAATTCTTTACAAATCCTACCATGTGGATTCATGGTTTTTTTTTTTCACATTCTGTCTCTCACAGTTGAAGTGTACCTCTGGTGCAAATTACTGACCTCTGTCATCATTTTAAGTGGGGGTACTTGCACAATCGGTGGCTGACTAAATACTTTTTTGCCCCACTGTATGGTGCTTTTAGCTAGTTAACAACTTTGGCATGAGTTTGTGGTTCCGTCTTTTTTGCTACCTAGCTAACATGGCGACTACTTAAAAGTATTGAGCATTCTCAACATTTGGACTGTTTTAATTTCACTATCCCTATTATGATACTGACCACTACTGTTACTATGGTCGCTGACAACAATTTGACAGCAAAAGTGTAAAGTACACAATTTGAGATGCAGTGCAGTTGTCTACAGCTACAATAACTGATCAAAGGTGGCACCATTAGTGGGTGGCTGAATGCTAACATAGTGCTCGCTTTATTGAATACGTTTCTAACATTTGCATGCTAGCATACTAACATTTTACAGCAGAGCTGGGAGAGAATTAATTTGATCAGGTGGTGGCGCTAGAGGAACTGTCAGAGGATAACCAACGTTTTTATTGTTCATCCATGATAGTACATATAGCTCTCAAAGTTCTAAATATATGCAACATGGATTCATGGATTTATCCTTTGTGTACATGCATTAACTATCCTTAATGTAATATTAGCTCTTACATGCTCTGACAGACACCGTGAACTAGAAACGTTTACCGTGTAACTCTTGGTGTTATCTAATTGTTCCCTACATTGTTTGTGATATTTCTGTAATTTTTATTTACATTCTGCTGCTATTACACAGGAAGTCAAGCAATACGCAAAACCCCCCTAAAGTTCATTGAGGGGATTAATTTGAACTCAAGTACCGCATACCATCAAAGGTGCGACTTGCACACCTGTGAAATGTACATTTGAGTCAGTTTAGAGGCTTAGAAGTGGATGTAGTTGCCATAAACTTAAACTGCACTGCAAAGAGTTAGTAAATTGAGCTAGCTGAAAACCATGTTGCAGCAACAAAGCTAGTAATATATCCTTTGGATTAGGATTATTTGTCATTGTTTGGTTAGAAAGCATGGATGAACTTTTAGTTATTAGACAGTTAAACAGGACGCCAGTTATAAACTTTCTCTTTACTAATTTTATAACACATCCCAGTTCTGATTTGTTAAAACAAAACGTTTTGCATGATGCATTTACGTATGTTAGTCTATATTATGGTGCAAATTTGCACCAACATGAACTGGTAGTGGTCAGTTTACGTGAGTTAAACTGTCAAATCTGATGTTGTTTCAGGGCAGCTGGAGCTATACAGTTCAAATTCACTTTTACACAGAGACGAGAAAAAAAAAGTTAAGAGCTTGGAGTAAATGAAGTTGTCATAGACTTTGCAAAAAAAAAAAAAAAGGTGAACAGTCAGCAGTGTTAATGTTTGTCTAAAAACAAGTAAACCCTAGGACACAGCAATTTGTCCACGCTAGCACCTAAGCTAATATTATGTAGAGAAAAAAAAAAAACGGGATTCTGATTGACATCAACAAAAAATGTATATAGTTTATATGTAAGTGCTTATTACACTGGGCACAGGAAAACAAATGTTTTGGAAATGTGTCAGAAATATTTGCTTAAAACTAAAAATTATAAGGTTTATTAGTCAAACTGAAAACTGATGTGGTTTTGCCCAAATGTAAGCCGCCATGCAGTTCTATTCTGAAAAGCCAGAAATGAATCAAACAGAACGTTCAGTTCGTCATTCTGCTCAGCAATGCAAGTAAATAACTGTAATTTGGCATTTTAAAGAACAAATTATTTGCATTTTTTTGGTTAAAAAAAATGCATGGATAACAATAATTAACAATAACAATAAGCATCCCAATGCAACGGTATTCATGTTTGATGTGAACACACCATAAAACTGGTGAGCGGGCTCTGTAAATCTCTTCCTGCTGAGAGGCTCAGGACACATTTTTCATTGTGTTAGAAACTGAAAAAAAAAACCAGAACAAAAGCAGCTTTTTGTTTTTAGTTTCATTTATATGGCATTATACTTGTAAATGAATTCTGTGGAGTCAAATGATCTTCCATTAAAGTCGTAGGTAGTAAGACCAAATCTTACCTTTCTCAGGATTAATCTTACTCGCACGGATCATGTCACAGATCAAACCGATTCTTAAACTTCCCAAATGCTGTCGTCTTATTGATGTAAACACTGTTCGCTGTTTTTGTCTCAAATCAATGCATCTACTGATGGTTATTGCTGGTTGTGTGGGGAGGGAAGCCTCCCCCAATGACTGTAATGTGGACTTTTCTTATTTAAAGTCTTAAAATATTATGTGTTTGTTTCACAATCAGTAGTTGAAAATACAAAACTGTGCTGAATAAAACTCCATCTTCTTCATTTTGAACGCATTTTCTCTGAGGTGGAAAAGAGGAGGCGAGAGGTGAGTGAAACATGGAATGCTTTTATTCATCCGTTAGAGATCAGCGTTAGAAAAATGACAGTGGACAAAGGCAGTGCTTCCCCAGGAATGATTGCAATGTGTGGCGAGAAACAGATCGCAGCAAATCCACAAGACTTTCTTTGCATGTTATGGAGGAAAATATCTCGAGGTCATCACTTGGTTAAAACAAACACTGAGGTCTTAATGATGGCAAAGCTCAGAGCGCGTCCCCTTTACACTCAGCATTAACACGTGTACTGGCACATTATATACAAATGCCAAGCTTGGTGAAGTTGATCTTTGTATTTGGTACAGATTTTACTGAAGAAATTTGAGGTTTTCTGACCTGCTTCAAACACGGCTGGAATTCTTACAAATGAAAATTCCTGGACCAGTCTGATTTTCCATGTTGATGTTTTTTAAAGCTATTATTTGGCAAAATGAATCATGAAGATTATAAGGTCTCCAAGATAGTCCTGCTGCAGTTCCCCCCACACTGATGATGGGCCTTTTCCCCAGCAAAACATTTTGTGTCTATCAACAATGGCCGCAGTCCACTCGGCTCCTGGTTCAGTGCGATGGCTTAGTAAATGGAACCGAGCTAGGTCAACATGTCTGCTGTGGAAGAGGCCCACACACCAAGCTCGCAGTGGGTCCAAAATTGTAATCTGACCCTCTGATCAGTTTGGTTGGCATTTCTAGTCTTTCTCTGGCTCCAGTAGGCAAGACTGTACGCAGCTTTTAACAGGAAATGTCCCAAAAGGACTCACTTAACTATTGATAGCAGTCGTTCTAACCTAATTAGTACCCAAATGGTATGATTTCATCAATTGTTGATGTTGACGTGTGATA